GTAGTGCTAGTAGTAGTCGTGGTGGTGGTGGTGGTGGTGGCGGTGGTGGTGGTGGTATTGGTAGTATAGTGGTGCAGCAGTGGGTATGAAGCTTCTCGCTTTGTGTTTAGGCTTTAGCGGCGACGAGGCGGTGGTTTGAACTCAAGGTAAGGTGTAGTTCAGCAATGCGGGCGCAAGGCAGCCATTTGCAAACGGATCTTTCATGTCACACACCATGCAAACCCCTAAAAACAATGCTTGAACACTTACGGTACTTCGAATTACCATCATGCAAACTCAGTATGGGCTTGCGGTTCTGAGTTTGTGGGCAGAGGCTGTAGATCCATGTTCGCACAAGCCCAAAGTCCAATTTCTAGGGTTGGAAAAAGTCTAGGCTCACATGGAGGCATGAAGCATGAAGGTGATGTCCAGAAATCGCACAGTATCCCGTGATTCAGTTTCACAGTTTGATTGTTGAGGCACCCTGAGTGCTAAACTTCAATCCAAACCCCCGACTGACTCTATATAAATAGGCTTATTCAGGCTCTGGTCCCTCAGGGCTTTGGCGGCACCGCTACCCACGTTCTGAACAACAGCCGACGTCGGCCCCTTAATGTTGGGATGAGCCGTTCAAGGATTGGGGTTTAGAGGTCCTACTGAATATTGGGGTTCCCGATGAGGTGGAGTCTATCGGAGCCCCACCCCTTGAGTAGCGTTACGACAAGAATGACTCTGTGCAGGGAATCCATCTCTTTACCTGCTGTGCTTCATGATGGCGGGGGTCGGGATTTTCTGGTACAGTCTAGGTGTCAGGGTAAGGCGGCTTCAGGGTTTGGGGTGTATCGGCAGAGTTTTGATTGAGCCCTAAACCCTAATTAAACCGCACAGCCGTATGCCAAAATCCCTACATCTTCCGAGACTCAGGCTCCTGTGGTTGTCAGAGCGACAACCTGAACTGCAAGCAGGGTTCCACTCAATCGTTTACATGCTGTCTTCTTGAAGCAGATACCGTCCTCGTAGCGTGGGCTCCGTTGTATAGACTAGAACTGCAGACTTTTTCCTTCTTTGTGCACAATACCTCAACACTTCTCATAAGCGCAACACCACGGCCCTGCAGTCTAAAGCTCTGGAGCAATAGACAAAAGGTAAACGAGCCCCCCCCGCCCCCCCAGGTGAGCGTTTGGCTCTGCAGCGGCGAAATCTGAAGAATCTGTGCCGGAGCCCAGTGGAACAGCGGATGAGAGCTCGGGGGTGAGGGTCTAAAGCTTCGGGGACCCAAACTCTCTCGAGTATGAGCATGGTGATTCGCTTCTTCTTCTTCTTCTTCTTCTTCGGTGGTTGTGCTGTCGCAGCCCTAAATCCTAACCCCTATAACTAAAAGGAAATGTCTCGGTCGCAAATCCGAAACCCCACCTCGTGGAGTAGTTTGACGCGCTATGTAAACCTGTAGTTGTAGAGATCTTATCCTTCGTGCAAATATCCGTCAGAACCATCCGACACCTAAGCACCTAGCTGTTGGATCCTTTGGACCCCTAGTGTTATGGTATAGCGACCATGTGCGGCGTAGGTGAAATGAAAGGAATAAGTGTGCACCAAGCACTTGGACCCATAGTGCAGGGTACATACATACATGCTAACCATTGCATGAGGATATCTCTATGGACCTTACCGGTACCATAACCTACTGTTGGTAGCCCCCCTATAAGATTGCGAGGGCTCCTGAGCACAGACACATTTTCTAGTGCTTTGCAGGTGCTGTAGAGGGATTCAGAAACGCGCCTGTTATAAGACGTCTCCCTAAACCCAAGCCCCGGTACGCCTCATCCAACCCAAATTCTGAGAGCCCGATACAGTGACCTTTGACTGTATCAGCCCCAAGGTACCGACGTACGAGCATCTGCGTCGTAGCACCTGGGGACGCCCCAGTCGCGGCACCTAGAGAGCTAGCTGCCCGAGTCCGGGAGGGGACATTCCATTCGTTTGGACTGCCAAGACCCTAAACCCTGTGCCCCAAGCAAGGTGCGATCGGTGCCTAAGTCTGCTTTTAAGGACTTACTGCTTGTTCCAGAGATGCAGCTTTGCTTTTTCCAAACCTTGGATTAAAGTCTGCAGGTGTGTGTGGCAATGCAGTAAAGTCTGCTTATCATCTGACTTCACCTGGATGCTGCTCATCGTAACGCATGCAGGGGACTGAAGCCTTTCCAGTAGTGGCGCCGATGCCAGCAACTGCTGCGTCCTTGCCAGTATTCAAACGGGTAGTTCTCTAAATTAGGGTCCCTTTTAGGATCCTTTTTCGAAGGGTGCCATGCTATTTCCGAAACCTAGCAAGGGACCCTGTTTTTAAGAACTGCCCAAATGCAGTAACTTCAGCAGGCGTGGCTTGGACATGTGTAGGGTTGTGTAAAGACTTCTATCACAGCCGTGAGTTTGAACCTGCTGGGGCTGTAGCGTCTTCAGCAGGGTCACGTGTGTATTAAATCAGTGTACGACGTTGGTAGGGATACCAAGCATTTAGGGATAGTCCAGCCTTAAACACCCTAAACCCTCAAGACTAAATCCCTAAACGAAGAGCGAAGACCAGTATCTCTGCAGACATTGCCGGGTGCTGTCCGCAAGGGAGTGTCCCCCCCAACAAAAACCCGCCACAAAAGGTCCTCAACCGTTCCGAGGCTCTGGGGCAGCGACTCTCCGACATCTTGGAAGCCGGCAGCGGCCTGAGCGAGTAGGCTTTTCTGTGGGGGTTTCTATAAAGATTTCAAGGGGGGTTCTTGGCGTCAACTAAGGGTGTAGAGAGGTTTAGAGTTTCTGTAGTTTTTGTTGGAGGGGGGTTGGGGGTTTCGGTGCTAGGTTGGGGTTGAATGCCCAAGGTTTCAGGTGGTTAGGGGTCGGAAAGTGCAAAACTCCTGGTTGACGGCTCTGGTCGACAGAGCTTAAGTAAGATATAAGATCCCGGTATAGTTGAAGTTATTGCTGATTCAAGAGCTATTTTCTTCCCTTTCTATTGCCCGCCCTTAGGCCCCAGTGCATCTGCAGTCCAGAGAGGTGCATCGCGCCATACTGAAGGATGTCCATGAGGAGTGAACAACCGCGGGTAGTATAGTAGATGCCTGAAGCACAATATTCCTTATAGGGCTCCTTATTGTTCTTGGTTATACCACCTTATACCCCCAAAGCCCAAGTCTAATTTTGACGGCCTCTAAGTACACACGCCGAGCTCCAAGGACGGTTCTATTGGAGTCAGCTCAGCTGCTTCGAGAGAGCTTCGGTCAGTTTCCCTTTCCGGGCCTTGTGGGGAAGCCAATCCGGATGCGGGCCCTTAATGCAAGCTAAGCCGATACCTCAATCCGTTCATGCTTGGGTCGTACTTAGCTTCGTTTCCGGATGTCTTAACCCCGGCAGCCGCCCGCCAGGTTGCATTCCTGCTGTGCTGGTCGGTCCGACACCCAGCTGTCGTGAAAAGGTTCGAGCCTCCCCTAATTAAGCCTCGGACCGATAACCGCGAGACAGATTTCGTAGCTGCTCTCTCTTGAAATGCAGGCGGAGCATGGGTCCTACAATCCCACAGGGCCATGACCGACATAGCTGTGCTTTGTACGAAAGCCCTCGAAGTGGTCTTCGTATGCTTCACTCTTTATTTGGGGTTTCCGGAGATTTGCACCTTGGGAGTCTACGTTGCCCATGGGAAGCAGCACCATTTAGAGGTTACGCTTCATAGTTGAAGCCCAACAGTTGGAAACCCGATAGCCTCAATCCTTAAGAGTAATGTGTAGGGAATCCCAGCACGATTTGTCCTTAATCCGGTTTCCAACTTTTTGAGGTTTGCTGTAAGCGTCCTGGGTTTAGATTTAGGAGTTTCTGGTTTTTGTTGGGGGTTCGAGCTTCAGAGGGCTCAGGCTCAGTTTACCCTCAAGAGCTGTGAGATGCTAATGTAGGGCCTTTAGAATTCGAATAGGGTTTTGGGGAGATATTATATCATGTAGGGCCTTAGTAATTAGAATGGGTTTTGGGGGGATATTATACCTGTAATTGTAACCGGGAACCCCCCGCGCCCCTATAGTATCGGAAGAGTGCCCTGCCCCCCACAGGGCATTGGCACGCGGAGACTGCATAGATAGAACTCTACGAACCTGCTCGCCCAGTCAGAAGAGAGCCTTGAAACAGTTTTTTTGTTCAGGGCCCATGTGGGTTTCTGAGCCATCTCTAGTACAATTGTTCGCTGAGCGGGTCCTTTGGGTGAGGATCCTACTGTTCGGCGTCGATGAGTTAGGATGGTTATCTGCAATATTAATATCGGTCACTCGTATTTACGATTGTTATGATAATTTGAGTTCGATGTCTACTACTGTTATACATAATACTTCCATTCTGTTATTCATTGAGGGCTCACCGATTTTCCGACACTCCGAGACGTCGTCAACCCCGGAGTCACTGGAAGAGTTCTTAGGTCACAACCACAGGCTTAGGGCTGGCAGGGTTTAGGGTTTACGATGTATGATTTTCAGGTTCAGGGCCCCCCCCAAGAAAGGGCTTAGGGACACCCCGACCTCAGGCCTAAACCCTGAGTTTGCAAAGCTCTAGGTTCTCACATCCCGGCGAGCCTAAGGCCCTTGTAAACCCAATAGTTATGCTTTGTAAAAACCTCATCAAGTCCGTCCACTTCGAAAAGGGCGTCCGAAGCAGACTGACCGATCCGATAGGAATGGACTGCATTGGAAAACAGAAAGAGATACGGTTTAGGGTCTACACGCTAAGCCCCAAACCCTAAATCCTAAACCCTAAGCCCTATAAACCCTAAACCCTAAAATCCTAAACCCTAAACCCTAAACCCTAAGCCCCAGACCTCTAGGCCCGAAGCCAGACAACTCTCAGACCCGAGAGTGGCAGTAGCCTACAGCCTACCGCCCGGCCTCTGCAGAAAAAGTCACCATAGAGCCCTTCTAGAGCCTTGGTAAAAGGTTCAAAAAGCCCATGTAGTTCCTTGTAAAGCCGTGTTAAAGAACAATCGAGAGTAAACCAAGAAGTCCAAAGGCTACTAATAATAGTACTAATAACGGTATCAGAATGCTTGAAGCAGAAACAAACGACAACCCTCAACCGTAATCTGAGCCCTAAACCGCAAACCGCCTCTGATTGCGCTGCCAAAAACCCTAAGCCCTAAAATACGGTCTCTGGAGGCCCTGGCTCACAGCCGGTGCTTCCGCTCCAAGGCATCGTTCGCTGGGAGGCCGCCGGGTTTTGAACCCTACGACCTGGGTTAAAAGGGTGTTTTGCGCTTATAGGGTTTAGGGTTGATGGGGTTTAGGGGTTTGTAGGGTTAAGGGTTTATAGGGTTTAGGGTTTATAGGGCTATAGGGTTTATAGGGTTTAGTATGCTCAGACATTCAAGCGAATGCACAAGTCCAGATGCAAAAAGCGTTTAGGGTTTACCGCTGAGTCTTTGGAGTTAAGAATTGCGAGTTTAGGGTGAGCTTAAAGGTCTAGAATTGAGAGTTTGTAGGAGGCAAAAGCCCTAAATCATGAACTCTAAACCGCAAGGCCTAGACTCTGAACCCGAAACCCTAAGGCCTAGACTCTGAACCCTAAACCCTAAACGCTTATGAACTCTAATGGTTTGGGAAACTCGGCTGCCCAGACGAGTTCCCTCGCCTTGCTTCTACAGCCTGACCTACCTACGGGGAGTGGAATCACCCAAGGGCTACCTAGGTTCAGGAGCCATGCTCATGCTGAAGGGCTTTGGGTTTACCTACTGTTCCTCTGGGAGTGCTGCAACGACTAGGACTTCGTTGCATGGCGGCGTCACATGGCTCGTCCTTATGTCCAGCCTGCCGTCCAACCTCATGATGATGGTCGTTTATGATCTCCGTCGCGCTTTCAAATTCAGGGTTAAGGCTTAGGGAATGCAGCGTTTGGGTTCAAGACCTCTGGGCCATGCAATTGTAGGGGTATCCTAGCTGAAGCCGTTACCTTTGCAGCAGTGCACGACATAGTAACCTGAAAAGGTGGCAACCGCTCATCTAGGCTTCTTTGTTTGGGTTGCTCCGCCTGGTGGTTACGCTTTCAAAGCACTGCAGGACATTTGGACCTTGGTTCGTGTTTTAAGCGCGAAACAGCCCGACCAGTACGGCGGGCTGATTCAGGTGACTACTGGTGTTGATGCCCTCCATTGCCCACCCATTCCTCGCAGTGGCCAGGAATTTGCGATCATCGTTCGCTTGGGGGATGACGTGGCAGGTGCCATCAAAGAATGCAGAGCTCTGGGAATTGGGTAGTTTTTTCATGAAACCCCTTTCTAGTAAGTTAGAGTCAAGGAACCTCTCGCCACGAAGAGACCCCGAAAAGCCCAAAACGAGTCGCTTCAGGCTGTCAGTCGGTACTGTGTGGCCATGTTGAATTTTGTTTGCTTTCACTACTTTCCCATCTTTGGGAAACCCTACTGGGCCGACCGAGTACTTTAAGTTAGAAGCAACTAGCTTTAGGCACTTGTAGGTCCACTGTTATCCCGGTCGCATCCTGTGTTATCGCGACAATACGACTAGGGTTGGAGTGTGTAGCGCCCTGATGGCCTGCAGGGTTTAGGGTTTATGCAAAATCATCGGAATCGGACTGGAGAATCTCGCTTTGCTTGTCCAAGTGGTAAGGCAGCTGAAGCCTAACCCTATAAAGGTCCAGAGGACCCAATAAATAGGTACTTTGGTTACGGATAGTAGCTAAATATTCGGGAGAGTATACGATCATTAGGTACTTGGACCCCTAGGGTAAGCTATGATAGTCTGGCCTCCAAAGCCCTGAACCCGGTTGCGTTGGAAGATTCCGCTGACAAGCTAGCAGCTAGACTGTACGTCAACCTGAATTAAAGCCCCGATGGACAGATGTCGAAAGCCTGAACTTTATGCTTCGAGCCTAAAATGCGCTGCAGCATGTATCAGAAGCCATGCATCCTTCTGTGCATAGAAACCTTCCGAGAAAGTCCCCATCTGTGTGAGGTGCGCGCTGGGCGATCCGACGCATTCTAAAGACCTCCACGGCCGAGGTAGAGCAGACACACTTTTGGACGTACAGGGGTTCGGGAGTTCATGAATCTATAAATAAATGTTGGAGGTGGGGCTTTCGGATTAAAGGCTTTCTGTTCCGGTAGTTCAGGGTTTAGGGTTTGTAGAGGTTTGGAAAGGCGGTTATGGGCCGAGGGCAGAGCATGACAGTTTGTCTTATGCCTAAACCCTAAACCCTAAACCCTCTTTGGCTTTTGTTCTTCGGGCTTGAGACTTTAGAAGTACTATAGAATTCTGAGCAATACTGGGGGTCGGCGACACCGCAAACGCAAAAGGGTTTAGGATTTAAAGTGATGCTCGAAACCCGAATGCCATCTGACGACTTGAAGGGTCACAGAGGTTAGTAAGTAGAGGTACGAGTGGTAGCAATAGTTACATCCATACCGAGTTAAGATGCCTAATTCCATACCTATGGCTCACCATGAACTTGAGCACCGGCACGTTAAACCCTGGACCTGAGCCCAGCCTTTCAAACCCATGACCCCTAACACCCTAACCCCTGGAACCCTCAACCGAGCGGTTTAGGGTTTATAGGGTTTAGGTTTTATGCATGGACCAGGTGTATCCATAGGCCCCATAGTACTCGTAGTTCCTTTTCAGGGTTCATATTTAGAATCCTATATGGAAGTCCCAATAAGGAACCACTGTGGGGCCTATGGGTAAAAGGGCTACGGAGCCCAAAAAGCTGTCTGACAGCTTGCCCGCCGGCGAGCAGCGCTACAAAGATGGCGGCCACGGCTGGCATTGGTATCTTAGTTGATCCTTTGATGCTTAGGAGCTTTTCGGTCAGGGAACCCTAAACCCTAAGCCCTAAACCCTAAACCTAGTACACCCCGAGGTTTGGAGGCTGTTGGGCTAGAGCTGCCAGAGCTGTTGAAGGATCATGAGGGGTCCTTCGTGCTTTGCGTTCTCCGGGGTATAGCAATCGTTGTTGTTTGGCTCCAGGCTGCATGTGCAGCTCCTTGGCTTCAGGACCAACCAAGAGCTTTGGGTTTAGGGCTGATAAAGGAGCGTAGGACTCAAGTCGGGCTTTTTCAGGAACAGGGGTTCCTGCGTTTACGGTTCGATGATGTTCTTTGAGTTCAGTGGTTGCTCGCCGAGAGCAAGGGCTGCAGCATACTGTGATGCACTCGGATTCTTCTTGGACCTCTCCTCGGTGTGTAAGCCACCCTGCCGCTCCGGCCCACCTGAATATGTCTGATGAATGTTGCTCTTTGTCAAGCTGAAGGGTTTCCTACGGCCGTCTTTTACTCGCTCGCGACCGCTCGGAAACCCTCAACCAAATCCAACCCTAGGAGTACCAGTTTAACTGTCAGAGCGCATTGCAAAGCTCTCTGAGAAGAGCTCCTAACTTGCTCCAAACCGGGCAGAAGCCGTGTTGAGACCCGGAAGAGGCCCGGCAAACCGGAAATGCCTAAACCCTAAACCGTTTCGGGTTTAGGGGGCCTAACCTATCAAACAAAAGACCTGTAGGTACTCAGCTCGTAAACCCTCAACTCAAACAAGAGTTTTCGGGTTAGGGTTTAGATCTTACGGTTTTGGGGGTATTCGGTTTAGGATGTTGGGCTTTACTTAGCCAGACATCGCAGCCAAAGGCATTTGGTCCCGAGTGTCACGGCAGGCTTGGGCAGAGATGTGTTGCGGAGTACTTTCCACGGCATATAGTAGAAGCCCAAAAGTTGGAAACACAATAGCCTCAATCCTTGATTAATATATAGGGAATCCCAGCATTGTTTGTCCTTAATTCGGTTTCCAACTTTGTGAGGTTTACAGTAGAGTTGAGGGTTGCGTTCTGCTCAGGGTTGAAGCCTTTAGGCTCATGACTGGCATGCAGAACCTTACGGCTCTGACGGGTTAGGGGTTTGGGCACCATTGCACAGGCTAGTGCGGCTAATGATCCCGAGTACACTAGGCCTGACATGTAAACCAACAGAGACCCATGGTTCTGCAGATGCCCTTCATGTTGCTAGCTTGTTAGTTCGTCTCTCCCCAGGAAAAACTAACGATGTTCAGTCCGTTTCCAGGCATGAGGCTTCGGCATTGCGAGGCTTGGGTTTCAGCGCCTCCAATGGGGACTTTATTCTGGGGTTTAGGTTTCTGGGGTTTATTGGTGCATTTCGGCTCTGCTTTGCTAAACTTCATATGCAGCTTTCGTGGGCGAACGTTGCAGCCGCTTGGCGGCTCAGACCGGGGCGCGTTGCCGAGCCTTGCTTTGCCGGCGCAGGCGCCAGTGGGAGTTTTTATTGTTTTAACCATGTGCGGTTCATTTTTCGGTGCCCATGTTGGGCAGGATCCGTCTTTTGGGAGTCTAGCCTGCTTTATGGAACGCTCGAATCTCCGCGGAGTTGGAGGGCTGCGGGGGCTTGATTGTAACAACCACCGCAGACGTGATACAAACAAGACTCGTGCTGCTCTTGTAACATGAAGTTATCACGCTCCAGAACCCTGCAGCCGTACATCGACTAGCGGATGGTAGCAGTTGTAACAAAATCAGCACACTTGTAGTGACAACGGCAATATGGAGACTGAAGGTAAGAAGGCGAAGCGCCTTTCATGTTGGTAGAGTTTGGTCAGTTTAACGCAGGTTGCCGAACATCTACAAATCTTGATTTGATATTGGTTTGATATATATATATATATTATATATATATATATATATATATATATCCCAGAAGTACTCTAATGCTCATGAAGCAAGCACCCACAGGTTTTGCGTTTGGCGAAGCAGCAAACATGCGCAGACACAGATAAGACTGTCTGACCCTTAGTAGCGAATGGGGGAATGGATCCCTATCATAGTCCCTTAAGGTCCCTTATAGTAGTCCCTATAACCCATTCCCCCATGCCCCACTAAGCACCAGACAGATAAGACGTGTTGGAGGTCGATAGCTCGAGTGCTTGTCTTGCGTAGGGCTTTAGTTGTCCAGGGTTCAAGGTTCAAGGGACTGAAGGAGGGACCCTTAAGGGGACCCTTGGGGTTATATGGGGGGGGCTTTATGAGACTATATAAGGGGTATATTAAGGGTTATAGGGTATTTGGATTAGGGGTCCCTTCTAGGGGTCCCTCCTATTGTCCCTTAAAAGGTTCGTAGGGTCTCAGGTTCAGGGTGAGTGCTAAGTCCCGAAAGTTTTCGACCGCACCTTTCATCCTGCCTTAAACCTTATATACCCTAAACCGAAACATTTTCTAAACCTTGTGTTTGAAAATCCCTGAACCCGGGTTCCGCAACGCGAGCCGTTCTCTTGACCTTCGGTCAAGCTCGTTATCTTAGTACAGCGTGGCTCCTTGTTCTGGAACGGGCACCTGTGGCATGTAGTGATGGCATTTGCAATTTGGTTCCAGATGGAATTACATCGAAACAGCATTTCCTGTGAGTCTCGTGAAATCAATCGAACTTGCCACTGCCCTACCTCCTAAAGCCCCCGAGCATCTAGGTGGCGAAAGCCCTCCACACAACCACTGGAGCCCGAAAGCCCCATCCACCAGCCCATCCTAAACCCTATAACCTTTTAGCAAAAAGCCGCCTCAGTCATGGATGAACTCGTGATCCGAGCAGTGTGGTTCCGTTTTGTTTGCTCGTAGCTTTTCGGGCTCGCTCCATAGCCTTGAGTCAAGCCTATTGCGGATTTCCTTGTTCCTACGATCCTTGTCGGGATGTTCGATTTGCAGTATGATGTGGAACTACCCATAGGCCCCATAGTAGTTCCTACTAGGATTCTAAATATAAGCCACCAAAAGGAACTACTATGGGGCCTTGGGGTAGAGGCACCTATGAACTCGAAGTCTTGGGTGAGAAGCGGGGGCGTAAGTTCTTGTTATCGGGACGTAGGCCTTACAGTGTCAGCGCAATGCCAAATTCCAATCGTACGCCTTCGAAATTCCTTGTGAAGTTAACGTAAGTAGAGGATGGAAACACTAACCTCTCACAACTGCCCTGAGCAGCTTGCTTGCATTCGCCGCCAGGTGCAAATCTTCATGTACTGCAATGCCGAGCGTTTCATCGCTTAAGCATTGGGCTAAGCTTTGCATACGGGCGAGTGGGGTTCAAGTGTTTAGGAGCAGCCGGTTTCCTGCCTTCCGATTCCTGATGCGAGGCCATGGTGTTTGTTGCCAGAGGGCTGTTGTTGTTTTGCTCTTCTTGATGTGTAGCATGGTATGATCTGATCTATCATCATGGGTTCGAGTGCGGACTATGCACACGGGCTTGGCTCGCATGGAAGGGTGGTTTGCGAGGTGTCTGTCCAGTAAACGGGTGCGACCGTCCGAACGCTTTTGAGGTGCTGTGTACACGAGTCATCAAAGGCTCTGCTGGGCTTCTTTAGGCTTGCTTAGGGCCCTCAGGATTCTACGGGAGTTTGGCAAGTTTAGGGTTTAGGGGTTTTAGGGTTCAGGGTTTCAGGGTTTTTAGGGTTTAGGAGTTTGAGGTTAAGGGTTTATGGATCTATGGTTTAGGGGCTTATGTAAGCAGTTAGGGCAGCAGGCGAGTCCCTTGTGAAAAACGTCAGCATGTTAAACATCGGGGTAAGGTGCACTAGCAGGTACAGACGGTATGCTAGATTACTTCGCAGCAGGTTTCAAGAGCACGTGCTTTGTGATACCGTGTTTTCTCGGGTTCTTCTCCTCATTACGCTCTTGGGGTCCCTCGATCTTTACCCCGGGGTTATTGAACTCACGGGACTGAACTGTGGTATGTCCACGGCCTCCACTACAGATTGTGTTGCTTTTTTGTGTAACTCTTCCTGTTTAGGTTTTGGATTTTGGGTTTTGTTTTCCATGCAAGGTGTACATTCTTCAAGCCATGTTGGAGCCTCTCCGTAGTGGCTGAATGCATCAAATTAATGGATGTTGTGCACTGGCTGAATGCATCAAATTAATGGATGTTGTGCAGGTACGACTAGTGCTGGCCAGGCTGTTGGCTTAAAGCTCGTTTCGATTCAGGTAAGGTGAGTCGCTGTAATATAGCAATACAAGAACTGCGGAATTGATTCATGGCTCATAAGGTTCAACTGTTCGGTTAGCGTTGAACAAAAATGGTATTCCGTTAAAATCCGTGTGTTTTTCTGTAGTTATAGCACTAATATCTCCAAAGCCTTAGTCTAGAGCCCTTCTCTAACTTCGACCACAGAGCCACAGAGCCCCCTTAAAAGAAAATGAAACCCTTCGACATGTTGTAAGCTCAGGCTGGTCTTTTGGGGTTTGGGCTGTGGTGAATGCCCATAAACCTCTACGAAGCTCGCGCCCCAAGTCCAAACCCGGCATTTTGCGCCACTGGCTCAAGATCTTCTTGCATCTACCAGCTTTCGCAGTGGCCTTGCCATCTCCTTCGCTCGTCAATCATGCGCGAGCTCGTGCACATCCAGGGAGGACTGATCCTGCACACGAAGAGGGCCTACGATGATTTCGGTCCTGTACTTGGGTTGAGGTGGCTTTAGTAGGTTTAGGTGAAGTTGTTTAGGGTTTAGGGCTGGGGTGTAGGGTCTTAGCCTAGCAGAAAGTTATCTTGTTGCACAGGGCAATGCCGACGCGGTAGTTGACCCGCCTTTAAGGTATACCTTGAAAGGGAGCACACGCTTTGCGCTTGGCTGCGTGCTACCGCTGTTTGCAAGAAACCAAGCTTACCTTTTTTGGCAGTGACGGGATCAGTGATGTTGACGTTGACGCTTCGTCTCAGCCTTACTGGTGCACCTGGCGTAAGAGACTAGATCCCCAACAGTTGCTGCTGCTCGCAGTCTACAGGGGTGGTGCGTGCAGCATCGCCCACTCGGAGGCAGGCGATGCCTCAGAACCGTACGAGATGTCCTGTCTGTGACAGGCCTAACGCCTCAATGAGGCATTTCTGGGCAGAGTGCCACACTTTCGAGCCCACGCCTGTTAAGCTGAAGCAACATTTTGCCGTACATGCAGGCTGGTTTCAAGCACAGCCTCGTGTTGCAGCTAAGAGCGGATGGATCACCTTTTCCGCTGCGCCTTGCAAAGCTGGGAGGGCCAAACTGCAAGTTGCTGCGCGAACTGGGCCTGGTTGCCTTCCACCCTGTCTGGGCTCCTTCGGGAGGCATAACTTGATGATTTTCTACCTGCCGCGAACCACGTAATGGGGTAGGTTGCTGGCAGACAAACACACATGTTGCGCAGGACAGTGTGGTAATCAGATCGGTGCCAAATTCTGGGAAGTCATCGCCGATGAGCATGGCATCGACCCAACAGGTGCGAAGCGATAGGGTTTGGGACGTAGGAGCCGGATGCTGCACTGTAGGTCTTTTACAAAATACTTGTGCGGCTTGTGATTTGGATTGTATTTCTTCATAGAGTAAGAGGCGCATTTTGTGGTTGAAGAGCGGCGTTTGAAACATATTTTGAAGATGACAGGCTGCAGGTGCAGAACCCTTGTTCAAGCCTGAGGTTGTTATGTATCTTGTCTTGCTATATCTAAATGTATAACTGTATGACCATATATATATATATATGTGCTCCACTGGCTTCAGATCTTCATCGTCTTCATCCCCAAAAATTTTACCCCACCCTACAGCACCAAGCCTTGAATCCCTGGAGGCATATTATGACGATTCTGCCAGATATGTTTATTTCTTCTGTTATACTCCACCCATAGGCCCCATAGTAGTTCCTTTTTGGGATTACCTTATAGGATTCTAAATATGAACCCAAAAAGGAACTACTAAGGGGCCTATGGGCAAGCCCTTCTTCATAAAGCTGGGGATTTCGAGGCACCTACCACGGGGACTCCGACCTGCAACTGGAAAGGACGCCAAGGGGGCAATGCGCCATGTAAGCTCGGGCTCAGGAAGCTACCTCTTGGGGTAGAAGTAAGCTACCTTTAAAGGGTAGAAATCAGCCACCTCTTGGGGTAGAAGTATTTTTAATGGGTGTTATCGCCTTATAATCACTACCCATAGGCCCCGTTCCTGTTTGTGGCTTATACTTAGGATCCTAGGTACTCCCAAAAAGGAACTACCATGGGGCCTATGGGTAGAGTCCCAATATGTGAACACAACATACACCAGAACCCCTTCAGATCATCTAACGACAATTCCAACGCAACACCTCATGCTGGAGGTTCTGGAAACCAAATCCCCTGATTAGGTCTTAAGGTTTATGTAGCGACTGATGTATGACGTTGGGACAAAAGTCAAGCTAAGCGTGTTGCAAAGGGGTGGATATATATATATATATAATATATATATATATATATAGAGAGAGAGATTTATATACCTTGGCATGACGATCAGGATCAATGTCTACTTCAACGAGGACGCTTGGGATCGCAATTGCCAAACTTGGCCGGTTCGTTGCCGAAGACGTCTAGGTTAGTGCACCCTTACCCTAACCCGCACATCTTCCCCGCAATACCCGCGCTTTCGCTCCTGCTGCTAACCCTCTACGGAGCTAGGTTGCGTGCAGTTCACTCACTCACACATGTCTGTTTCGACGAGGCTACCGGCGGCCGCTATGTGCCACGGGCAGTCTTGATGGATCTCGAACCAGGACCAGTTTATTTTAGAAACGCCGAGTTGCAGTATTCAGGAGTTAACAAAACTCCATATGATTGGGTTTTCGGGTGAAGGGCGCAGGTCACACACACACATATATATATATATATGTATTCATATGTATGTATCCATCTGTGTATATACATCTGTATATATATATATATATGTATACTTGTTTCATATTATTTCATCAAAACGTGGTGCCTTTGAGTTCATGTTTGTGTGGCGGGTCGATGGGTTTTGAAGCCTTTACCCAAAGCGCCCGAAATGTCAAACCAGAATTCGCAGGCACCATGGACAGTGTTCGAGCTGGTCCTTTCGGCCAGTTGCCGGGCTGTAGGGATCTATATTTGTATTAATTTGGTTTGACTTTGGGGGGTCGCAAAAGCCTCAATTCTGTACATGGTTTTTCCTGATCTAGGTTTCTGAATACAGAAATGCACCAGCGGAAACGTTGCCATGTGGGAGCCAAAACCAGTGGAAAAGAGCTGCGGTTTGTGGTGTTTTTGGTTGCAATCGCTACATATAACCCAGGTTGTTCCGCCCTGACAACTTTGTTTTCGGACAGACTGGCGCCGGCAACTTAGCGGCCGAGAAGGCAACTTTTCGGTGTTGCTTTTCCCTACGGGTCTAAGTAGTCCTTCTTTATGGTTCTTGGTACTTTAAAATGGCCCCAAAGTCCTACAATGGGGAGTACATGGCCCCTTTAGGGTTTGGTTTCATTCGATGTTAAAGTAGAATTTGCCTGAGCCGTTTTTGTGAGACCCATACTTAAATCGCGACGATTACCCCGAGTGGCCACAGTTTCCTGGACGCCCAAGGAAACAATTGGGCTAAAGATGCTCGGTTGCGGATTTGGGAGTTTAGGGTTTAAGTTTCGGGATCTTGTATCCATGTGTCATATCGCATCGAGGCTGGAAGTGCGCATGCTTTGGGGATGGCGGTTGCGATTCTCATGTTCTTTCGTAGTGCAGGTGATATCATTGTGCACAAAGTCTTTGTTCGGACTAAGGGACACTACACGGAAGGTGCGGAACTGATCGACAGCGTGCTGGATGTTGTGAGGAAAGAAGCTGAGGGCTGCGACTGCATGCAAGGGTTTCAGCTGTGCCACTCGCTTGGAGGAGGCACCTAATCGGCGAAAGTAGTTTTAAGCCGGATAAGCCCGCTACTGTTGCCTACAGCTACCCTTTCCACCACCAGGAGAGGCTCGAAAAAAGGATGACGACTACCGCAACACAACCAACAACAAGTACAACAGCAGCAGCAAGCCAGAATGATTCAGCCACTCACCAACCACCACCACCACCACCACCAACGCCGCCGCCGCCGCCGCCGCCGCCGCTGCCACCGCCACCGAAGCCCAAAACAGAACGCAAACACCGGGAAAGAAGAATTTCAGGCATCGGCATCCACTGCGCATCATGACGATCAGCACCATCGTCATCATCATCACCAGGAATGTTCTTCTTCTTCACAATGACTGTGGCTTGAACACGGGTACCCTTACCAACGGATGCTGAGATGACATGGACGTGGTTTGGGTGCTCTGACATGGAAGAGTCGCCTTGATGAGCATGTAGCCCGTATGTGGGCAGTTCTCTCAAGTAGGGTCACTGTTTAGAGCCCCAAAATAGGACGGCACCCTTGTAAAAAGAGCCTTAAAAGGGACCCTAATGTAGAGAACCACCTATGTCGCAAGACGGGAGCCAACAACAACGAGCAAAGCGATTACGGCTTATAGGGTTTACGGGACTGTGTCTTGGTGCGGAGCACGGGCGTGGCCGACTTGCCAGCTTCACAAAATCAGAGCCTGGGTTCAAGAAAGGATTTAGGTTTATAGAGTTTAGGGTCAGCATCAACATCACCAACAGGAAGGAAACTGAAGCGGAAAGACCAGCAGCATCACAGACAACAACACCACGAGCAGCTCCTCAGTTACATGAGCCTACATAATTTCCAATATTATTTGTCTTTAGGGCTGCTTGTTATAACTATACCATAAGATACACCAAAACTCTATTCTATAATTATGAAGGCCCCTAGACTACACCTGGGCGACTTGCAACACCTCCAGCCGTACACCCTTTCGTTTCCGGACATATTGTGGCGCTGCTTCATCCCAGCCTGTCGAATTTTGATGTCATTCGCCGGACTGCTTGGCTAGCCTGGCACTCTAACTCTCCCTCACCGTGCTGCTTGTGGATCGAAACGAATTGTCACCAAACCTTCAGCATCGTCATGCTTCGGCACCCTCAAAACGAAACAGAAGCGAGATCAAAGGAGTGCACTTTAAATGGGCTCCATGGAGATGGCTACAAGTGAGTTTATTAATATCTATTGCGTGACAGGCACTGGAGCCGGAATGGGCACTTTGCTGGTCTCCAAAGTGCGTGAGGAGACCTCTCTTGTGGGAAGCTTTGTCCATGTTCGTCCTCGACGCATCTTGATGCGGTTTTTGTGTGCGGAATCAGTTGCAAGACCCCGAGTGCTGACGAGGAGTATCCTGACAGAATCATGGAAACCTTCTCAGTGATTCCGAGCCCGAAAGTTTCCGACACAGTCGTGGAGCCGTACAATGCTGCTTGAGCAGCAGCCGTGAAACACGCAGTCCATGCACGAAGCGATCTTGTTTGGTGTAATATAGGGGCCTTAATAATTAGACTAGGGTGTTGGGGCCCATGCTACTACAATTACAAAAAGGAACCCCAAAAAAATTCGAATAGGGTTTTGGGGCCCATTCTACTACAATTACATTAAGGAACCCCAAAGCCCTATTCTAATTATTCAGGCCCCTACATTATAAGATTCGTGTCGGGCCAGGTCCTAAACCCTAAACCCTAATCCTAAGCCCTAATCCTAAGCCCTAAACTCTAAACCCTAAACCCTAACCCTAAACCCTAGACTCTAAACCCTAAACCCTAAACCCAGGATTCCCGGACTTGAGGCCGCCTTAAGGAGGTTAAGGGTCATCTTGTTGGGTCCGAGGCTGTGCTGAGCTTCCACCAGCTCGTGGAGAACTCTGACGAGTCCTTCTTGCTGGATAACGAGGCATGCCCGGAGATGGTCGTGAAGTCTCAGAAAAGAGAAGCGAAATTGATTTGAGAGCAAAGGATGTTGGGTCAATGTTAAGCAAGCGGAGGTTTCAATGCCAGTTTCATATGTGAGTGCATGTTCGTTTCCGGTCCAGGCCCTTTACGACATTTGCTTCAGAACACTGAAGCTCACTACGCCGACGTATGGTGACTTGAACCACCTTGTGTCCGCGGCCATGAGTGGCGTCACTTGCTGCCTGCGTTTCCCGGGCCAGCTGAACTGCGACCTGCGCAAGATTGCCGTGAACCTGGTGCCCTTCCCACGGTTGCACTTCTTCATGACAGGCTTCGCACCGCTCACTTCGCGCGGCTCGCAGCAGTACCGGGCTCTCACGGTCCCGGAACTGACGCAGCTGCTGATCTGAAGGAGAGGTCCGGAGGTTTCAGACTTTCTCCGAAGCGTCCCAGGACCGAGCCTGATTTTCGTGAACCTCTTGTCACAATCACAGTCCGAGACATAAAAGTTCTCAACGATGGCCCATTTGTGCGGCCTTCAAACAGACATGCGGTTTGCTTAATCAGATATTTGTTGCCTTTCTTTGGCTTCCTACTTGCGCTAGCGTGTGGGGCGAAGACGTTGTCATCTTGCCCTAGCTACCTGTGCAAGAAACACGTTTTACTTAGGCAGATGTTTGATGCGAAAAACATGATGTGTGCTGCCGATCCGCGTCATGGGCGCTACTTGACGGCGGCAGCACTTTTCCGTGGCCGAATGTCTACGAAAGAGGTGGATGAGCAGTTGGTTAAACCCTAAAACCTATGCCTAGGACTCCTACAAACATACTTGCAGGTGGATGAGCAGATGCTTAATGTCCAGCAACTTGGCAGCATAGAGGGGCCTGAACAGACATTCCTGTTCTTCGTAAGTTATCATCTTAATACAAGTATATAAACCCTAAACCCCAATCCCTACGCCCCTAAACACTTAAACCCTGAACCCCTAAAGCCCTAGGTGTATAAAGGTCATTACTTTTAGAGCCCGAAACCTGAAGGCTCGCCAGCGCAAGTTTTCCTCTCATCTTACACGAGCTTGGCGAGCAAATAGCAGACCTATGAACCCTATGAACCCTACATCCGTTGTTGGGCATTGGCTTGTAGAATCCTAGAGGGCATCGTGCACCTATCCAGGAACAAGAACTCATCTTACTTCGTGGAGTGGATTCCGAACAACATCAAGGCATCCGTCTGTGAGCCCTGGAAGCAAACATGGTCACCCTCAACCCTAAACCCTGAGGTACAGGATTCTGCGGGTAAATGCCAAATCGCAACACTCTTGTCCTCAGTGCTTTCATCCGAGGACATCCCACCCAAAGGCTTGAAGATGGCAGTGGCCTTCGCCGGCAACTCCACCGCCATCCAAGAGATGTTCAAGAGGGTTGCGGAGTACTTCACCGCCATGTTCCGACGCAAGGCCTTCTTGCACTGGTACACGGGTGAGGGTATGGATGAGATGGAGTTCACGGAAGCCGAGTCGAACATGAACGACCTCGTNNNNGAGTATCAGCAGTACCAGGATGCCACAGCCGAGGAGGAAGGAGAGTTCGACGAGGAGGAGGGCGAATATGACGGATGATTCTGATGAGAGCCAGGATTCTCCTAAATTCCGAAGCTCAAATACCCGAAACCCTAAACACCAAAGCCAAACAACTTCTGTAAGAACTCTCGATCCTTGTAAAGCCCAAGCACAAAATTGAGAAACACAAGTTGCACNNCCCCCCCCCCCCCCCCCCCGAATTCAGCCTGGCCGGACGTCTGAGTTTTTTATGCAGGCATCGAAGGCTTGAAAGGCCCAGAGAGGCAGCATCTCAAGCGATGGGGCCATGGCGCATGTGACTTTTTGCCTGCGTGTTCGAGAAGAACTGGGATGTTGGTGAAACAGGGACAAAGACAAAGATTTAGGGTTAGCGCTCCGGGTTTAAGGTCAAATATTCTGCACGGCGTTCGTGGTGTGCGGCGCGTGCGTCAGCACTGCTGCAATGTCTAGCCCTATATGGATGCAAGCACTGCTGCGATGCACAGCCGTACCCGCAAGAGCGTCAAAAAAGCTGCAGCTATCTCTGACGTAGCAGTAGTTGCTTGTAATTGGTCCCTATCTTTTTGAAGACTTGTTTAAAGAAAACATGATAAGACATCCTAAAATAGGGTCCAGGTAGGGTTTAGGTCCGGTTTGCACATTCGGATGTGGTCCTGCATACAAACCCCGAGCTGTATGCGTCAAGCTTGAGCAGTACGCATCCTCCAGCCGATGTCAGGCGTGCTTGCAGGCACACAAGCGCCGACATCCACCTTTGCATGTGAAAATGCATCAGGAATAATAGATCTGACCCTATAGACCCGAAACCCTAAAATCCTATCCTAAACTCTAAAACCCTAAACCCTAAAACCCTGAACCCTAAATTTCCCTAAACCCTAAACCCGAAAAATCCTAAACCCTAAACCCTAAAACCCTAAAGCC